AAGTCCATTCACTACAATTGGTTAATATGTTGAAGAAACTGCGGCCTTTGTCCTGTAGCTTCCCACAGTCTGGGTTTTGTTGACTGCATCCCCATGGTGTTATTTAACACGCTTCTTTGTTTTCTATAATTCCTGGAAATTGGTAATCAAATCTTGAGACTGGTCAGACACAGGTTTTATTTTTCTAAGAACTCTAACATGAATAAAATCATAGGTGGTGGTGTATACTTGATCAGAGGCTACAGGTCAGGTTGTCTGTCTCTGTGATGTTAGAAGCCACTAGTGATTTTTGCCTAGATCTATTATTTCAAAATGGCAACCTTGTATCAATTTTTCTTCATTTATTAGATTGACAACTTTGAAACACAGCAAGTTCCCTTCATGAACTAATTTGTTACCCTGAAGTCCAATGATGTGATTTAGGAAAGGGCAGCCTACACTTTCCCTTTTCTCACTGCCTATTTACTTTGGAAACAGGCTTATCTGAGTGCATATTTTGTCTTTAATGTATTTAAAGCTTGTCCTATGTTTAAAACCAAAGTACATTTCAGAATGCACTTTTGCACTGTGGTGTAATATGAATAGATTTATCATTAAATGGAAATAAAGGATTTAGTTCTAACACCCTTGAGTTGGACTGTACTGAGAAGCATTAAAATGTTTAACAAGCAGCTTCCCAATGTTCAGATGCATTTCACAAAAGCTCATAAACTATTAAACTCTTCTGAAAAGTGACCAACTAAATAATTTATAAAAACAAAGGTTCAAGCCAGTGCAAGGATTATTACATCAACTGTCTAGTCTCTTTTTCTATTCAAAGAAATAACACAGGAGTGTAGTGTCTATGGAATCAGACAGATGGGATTTGAATTCTTCTTTACTTGCTATGGTGAGCTTGGGCAAGTTACTCTATAATCCCAAATATATTAATATAATAAGAGATTCTGAAATATCAGTGACTATTCTAAAGCATACATTTCTAAAACATCAGAAATACATGTGCATTTAGCAAAAGCAAAAGTCTCTTTTTTACAACTTTGCTTTTCTTTGCATTTTGAGGCAGAATGTTGTTCTGTCACCCAGGCTGCAGTGCAGTGGCACCATCTTGGCTCACTGCAACCTCTACCTCCTGGGCTCAAGTGAATCTCGTGACTCGCCCCCCTAAGTAGCTGGGGTTACAGGTGAGAGCCATCACGCCCAGCTAATTTTTGTAATTTTAGTAGAGATACGGTTTCTATGCTGGCCAGGCTGGTCTTGAACTCCCAGCTTCAAGTGATCCACCCACCTTAGCCTCCCAAAGAGCTGGGATTACAGGCATGAGTCACCAGACCCAGCCTATCTTTTTTATTACTTTGGTTGGGGTGGGGATGGGTTAAGCAATATTGCAAACTGCCAGATATTATTAATTATGAAACAGTAAAAATTGCTGTACTGAGAACATGTCATCCTTGATTCTCAGTGCAGTGTTAGTGTGGTCAGCTTTAGACTGAAGTACATTTTACTTCATACTAATGGAGTTGCATGGCAGACCAGGGAGGTCTACTCCAGGGCATCCCTTTAAGGCAGTTTAGGGAGAGAGTACTAGACAAATGGTAGAGCTAAATTTGCCTTTGGTTCTGCTAAGAGTATAATGGAAGACTGAACATCAGTGAGACAGATATGCACTCTAAATTGACTAGAAAACAACCATAACACAACTAAACACTTCCCTTCCATTACTGTTAAATCTAGCCCTCTGCCTCAACTTGCCCTGCTTTTTTCCCCCTTCTCCCAGATTGAGTCAGTGCTACTCCATCCTTAGTTTAGATCCCTGCCTTACTGGAGCCCTGTTATCTCATAGTTGTTGTATCTTTTGTGACAGTGCCAACACATAGTTGTTAATTCATGGGGCATCAAAATGATTTCCAAGTCACTAAGAAACAAACATAAACACTGAAAAATGATTCCCATCCCCTAATTTTCATGGGAATCTATGAATTAGAAAGATATGAAAATTGAGATAAGTAGGGGAACAGTATACAAATTGTTAAAAAAGATTTTACAAAGTATAGTTTATGTTCATATCTTGTCATTACCTTAATTATATTAGGCATAATATAAGTTTTGTGGGCACTGTCTCTTTAGAATTACATTTTTACCAACTTTTTATTGATGTGTAATGCACATACAGAAAAGTGGAATTTACATTATTAAGGTCTTTAAATAGTGTCACATGGCCATGACTGCCTTATTAATTTCTGTTGTGATGCAAAATATGATTAAAATTGTGAATTCATGTGTTAGAATATTCTCAACTTTAAAGTAGCATTAAGTTCAGTTGTGGTATGCTGCATCAAACTTAGTTCTGAGTAATGCCTAGAACAATGCACAGTATTTTATATTGGCCAATAACCAATGTTTTATAACTCCTGAACAAGTGGATAAACTGAATTCAGTATGAAGTTCAATCTAGATCTTCAAGGTTATATTTTTCTACTCATATATATCTATCTGCATATAGATATATATGCAGCGAATAGTGTTCTTAACAACTATGTTAACTACAAAGAATAAAAAGATTTTGCAACAGAGTTGGAATGGAAACAATTTCTGAGATAGAGATCAAATTGTGTTTAGAGAACCATTATTGGCAACTTTGCTATCGGTCATTTCCTGTGGGAATATTTCACTGGGACATAGTTTTATGCTCTGACTATTCATTAAATAGCCTGGGGCCCATGGAATGAAAATATTGTAGAACTATAAATATCAATATATGCAAATTATAGTGTAACATTTCATCACATTTCATTGCATTTTCTTAGATACGAATTAAGATTATTTAACAAACTGTGTCTCTTACTCATCGCAGAAAGAATTTTAAAACAACACTAATATAGCATGGTCTAGTGGAGAGTTAGGCAATAGACTGGAACTAAAGCCACTTATTCTAAATTAAAATTGATACTAATTCAAAAATGTTTATTCATCATGTACAATATATAAGATGCTAAATTTATACTCCTGTAAAGAATATAAAAGTCAATTATAAACAGTTTCTGCCCTTAGGGAGTTTATGAATTTTCTTGTGAAGGAGAAAGAGCATGTATACAAATTGTATAAAACAAAAACCAGTAACTATACTATGAGTGGGTGGGAGTAAAGTACTATTGAAGTTTAGAAGAACTTGAGTTCCTGTCTGGAGATCCGAGATGACTTCATAAAGAATGTGGTTGAGCCAAGTTTTATTATTTTATTTTTATTTTTTTGAGACAGTCTCCCTCAGTCATCCAGGCTGGAATGAAGGGGCGTGATCTCGGTTCACTACAGCTTCAACCTCACAGGTTCAAGCGATCCTCCCACCGCGGCCTCTAGAGTAGCTAGGACCAGAGGTGCACACCACCACATCTGGCCCTTTTTTTTGTTTGTTTTGTTTTTGTTTTCGTTTCTCATAGAGACCAGGTTGTGCCATGTTGTCCAGACTGGTCTTGAACTCCTGGGCTCAAGCAATGTGCCCATCTCGGCCTCTCAAAGTGCTAAGATTACAGGCATGAGCCACCCCATCTGGCCTAGAGCAGAGTTTTATAGAGTGGGTAAGATTTCTGCAAATCTTCTCTCTTATCTGCAAATCTCAGATGCAGATACAATTATTCCAGGAAGCGGAGACTAGGTACTAATAAAAGTAGTATAGTCAAAGCACATTCAGAGATTGGAGCCATTGGACAACAAAACTGACATAGGAAAATATACTGCAGCTGGAAATAAGGTAAATGAAGGCAAAATTGCTTCATTTTATTCAGTAATGCAAGCATTTATTTCTTCAACAAATTTTTCTTAAGTATTTGAGTATCTACTAAGTGCAGGTACTGTGCTAGGTGTTAGTACATTTGTAACTCAGAAAAAGGCCCTTTCTACTATGTAAACACTAAAAAAAGTAACTCAAATCAGGGATGATAGCACGACTGATTCTTGTCAATCACTGAATCAATTAATCTCTGGCAATGAGGGTACCTCATTAGTTTGCAACTGCTACCCAGAACCTGGAATTTAATGTTTTTGGGAGATGGCTGGTATTTCCAGATTACACTGTGTCTCAATTTCAATTCAATTGCTTCTCAACTCACTATTTAAATTAAAATGAAGTGTTAGCTTTTTTATATCAGAAAGCTGCAAACCTGATAGTCTTGTAGGTAGGGTGATGGGGGACATTATGTTCGTGGCTTCATTTTACAAGTTTTGGCTGATGTAAGAATTAATTTTGTTAGTATGCATTAATTGAAAGAAATAAGGAAAAACAGATTTAAAAGCGACATCGGTGGGTGGGTTTTGCTTTGTTTTTAATAAAAGGACTCTTATAGAAAAGGAATCGCTGCAAATTTCTTTTAAATAGCTAGCTCTCTGGGCAATTAAAATGATTGATGCATTTCTAGAACACACACACCGAGATACACCTGCACTCATACTTTGTCCGTCAAAACAATCTTTGTTTTCTCTCAAGCTAGGACTTGCTATGCCTAAGACACACCTCGTGCAGGGGTGGCGGTGAAGGTGCTGGGGTGACAGCCAGGAGGGCACTTTCCCTTTCTCCGGCTCCCTAACCAAAACTTTGCAGGCACCAGCCCAGACTCATGTTCCCGCTCGTTCTTCTTTCCTCTGCCTCAACTCTCTCCGCATCCTTCGCGCTCTGTGCGCCCACCCCTGCTTCCGTCGGTCAGCTTCAGCCGACCTACTACCCACCTCCCGGCCTGCGACCTCAGCCTCCACCTGCACCACTCGCCCACCCCGGGAACCCACCTCTGCGGCCCCCGGCCCGCGCGTCCCGTCGCGGCCCGGGGCTCTGGGGCATGCGCGTTGCGGTTCCACAGCCCTCCCCCACGCCTTCCCGCGGCAGAGTTATGCCAAGTATGTGAGGAGCCGGCGAGGGCCAGCGCCGGTCATGGGGAGCCGCCGCCGCCTCCGCCTCCGCGAGCGCGGTTTTCTCCGCAGCGGGTCTCCGACCTCTCCCCACGGCTGGGGTGAGCCTCGCGGGCTAAGGCAGAGGAGATGGCGGACCCTCTGAGGAGGACGCTGTCCAGGCTCCGGGGAAGGCGGGGTCCCCGCGGCGCCGGGGGGCTAGGGCTCCGGGCAGCAGCGGCAGCTGCGGTGGCGGCCTCTTCGGCAGCCGCAGGAGACGCCTGGGGTGCCGCAGACACCCCCCAACGTGAGCACGCCGGGGGAGCCGGGCCGAGCCTACAGCAGCCCCCGCCGTCACCTGCGGCGTGGGGTCCTGGCGCGCAGGTCCCCGGAGGGCACCCGGAGCAGTCGGGGGCCCTCGGGCCTTGGCCGCGCTGCGGGCAGGAGGCCGCCCCCTGGAGCCATGCCTCTCTGCACGCCCCCGAGGGCTCCGAGGGCAGCGGAGAGGAGGAGGAAGTGGACGAGGACGAAGACGACTACGACGCCGACTACTACGAAAACCTGCCCGGCGGCTCGCAGCCTGCGCCCGAGCCTGAGGGGGCGGAGGCGGAACGGCGTCCCCCGCCTCCCCCAGCGGCGGGCTCCTCCCTGGGGGCGGAGGGCGGCCGCCTGGAGACAGGCAGGCTGCGGACCCAGTTGCGAGAGGCCTATTATCTGCTGATCCAGGCCATGCACGACCTGCCCCCTGACTCGGGAGCGCGGCGGGGCGGCGGGGGCTTGGCGGATCAGGGCTTCCCCGCGGGAGCCCGGGCTCCGGGCCAGCCGCCTTCCCGCGGCGCTGCGGACCGCCGAGCCTGTCCCCGAGACGGGGAGCGGAGAGGCGGCGGACGGCCTCGGCAGCAGGTGTCCCCGCCCCGGTCGCCTCAGAGGGAGTCGGGGGGAGGCCAGCTGCGGACTCCTCGGATGCGGCTGTCCTGCAGCAGAAGCCTCGAGAGCCTCCGGGTGGGTGCCAAGCCGCTTCCCTTCCAGCGGTGGCCGAGCGACAGCTGGATCAGGTGCGGCGGGCACGGGGACTGGGACGAGCCCCCGCCACGTGGAGGCAGGATGGATGGCTGGAGTGGGGACCGCGCCCGGGCGGCTGCACCCACCGGCCTCCAGCCTCCAGGCTCCAAGGACCACGGCTGCTCCTCGGGAAGCCCTTTCAGGGATCCAGCGGGGTCCTCTGTGATACGCAGCGGCAAAGGAGACCGCCAGGAAGGCCCCTCCTTCCTCAAGCCGCCTGCAGTGACAGTCAAGAAGCTGCAGAAGTGGATGTACAAAGGGCGTCTGCTGTCCCTGGGAATGAAGGGTCGTACCCGTGGGACGGCCCCCAAAGTCACAGGAACGCAGGCAGCCTCCCCAAATGTGGGCGCTTTGAAAGTGCGTGAAAACAGTGTCCTGTCGGTGCCCCCAGACCAAAGAATTACGCTGACAGGTAGGATACTTTGCGATCAAATAGCTAGCACCGCGAGCTTTACTGTTTATCGACTGGGCTTCTGTCTTAAAAGCCAAGAAAAAGGTATGTTTTTGCAGACAGGTACGTTTCCGGGCCAAAGTAAGTGTCATGTAAGTGGCAGCTTAAAGTAATTTCGAGGTTACTTAATATAATGCATTTACTCGTTTTGCTTTATTTTGGTTTTTAATCAGACAGTGGCATGAAGAATTGGGGTTGTGTTTCTTCTCGAAAAACCAGTGTGCCTATTCCCTAAGTATTACGTGAATGAGTAAAGGTTAAGTTTAACACACTTTTAGTAGGTTTACAGATGGGAGGTACTGTCTTGATTTTTTATTCTTTGTAGCTCTAGGCAAATCCATAGACTTTTGTGGAGTTTGTGAATTTGAATTTGATTCAAGGTAGATTTTATAGGCTTCATAAACTGTCATTTTACTCATTACAACTTTTTTTTTGTCTGTCCCAGGCACGCACACACATGCATACATACACACAACCAAAACCCCAAACAAATCAAACAAAAAAACCCTACCATAAGTAGAATTTTTTAGTCAGGTAGTATTTCACATACACCATCTCTCCACCTGCCTACCTTCACCAAAGAAACCCCAACAAAGTAAGTAATCTTTTTATTGTGAAAAATCAAGGACACTAACATTTTCATCAAAAGAAAAATGTCCCTCAGGTACTTTTTTTTGTTTTAAAAGCAGTCATTTGCAAACTTAAAATCTATTTATATGAGAAGTAAATTAGTTTTTTAAAAAGTATATTGATCCTTATAATAGGATTATGCTCCCTATTTTGTATGTGCATGATTTTTAACTATCACTGAAGGTTTAGGTTATCAATGCTAGAAACCTGTGAATTATGTTGTAAATATCAAAATATCTTTCCTGAAAGGAGTATAATATCTTCAAAGTGAGCCAAAACAACATGGTCTTTTGAATACTCTTACATATAAAAATTTTTAGGGAGCATAAAGACTTATAAGTCAGGAATAATTTTGAAAACCTTAAATCCTGAAATGTAAAAGGTATTCACAGTACTTGGCTGTTTCTCTGTTAGTAATTACAAATCATACAGGACTGGATTTATACACATTAACTTTGTTTAACCAATAAACACACAACAGTGGGGAGAAACAAAGTTCACAAAACTTCTTATCAAACAATGAAGACAAATCAAATGATTCATTCAAAGTGTGTGCCAACTTGCAAAGTTTTTTCCTGTCTATACAGCGCTAATACATACCTGTCAAATTTTATTCTCAAGGTTAAATATTCCATTTCACTTGAACAAAAGGATAGTAGAATATAAATTCTTTAAAAGAGGTGTACTTTATACTAAGTTCATATTCAACATGCATTTCCAGGAGTAAAGTAATTTGTAATCATTTATTATATTTTATTGCCACAATATTTTTACCTCCTTGTCTTTGGCTTAGTTTTAACTCTTGGTACCATAGATGAATTTCATCCATAACAAAAAAGAGTCAAATATTTTTCACCCTTTTGTTGCAGTGCTAAAACATTTACCATGGGATGGCTTTTAATGCCCTCAGTAGTAAACATTCAAGGATTTTTAAAGTAATAAATATAGTTCCTTTAAGAATGAATTTGATTTTTGCATTAAGCAACTAAATGAAACTGCTTAGAAATTAAAATGAAACAGAATTATATGATAGTATTTTAGATATTTTATGAGAAATCTAAGCCAAAGCTACCATAATCTCTGGTTTAAACAACTCTCAGATGTTCCTTCCTTTTAAATCACTAATTCATCTTTCAGGAGATATGAAAATAATTTGTGCAGTGTTTACATATCTAGTATAGATTTGGAGAGCTTTTTAAAAAATTATTTTTCATAAAGTGTAGTTGGTCTTACTAAGACCATTCTGGATACATTAGGTGGTTCTCATATAATTTTTATAGCCCCAAAATGGAGATATGCTGTCATTTAATAACAACAACAAGAAAAAGAACAGAGAGATTAAGCAGTTTGCCCAAGATCACTCAATTGGTACCTGTATATGGATTCAGACTACTATGTGGATTCAAACTCAAGGTGTCATGAGTTTGAAAAAAGCCCCTATTTATATAAGATCAGAGACTCGAGAGTTCTTTAAAGGTCTGATCCAATTAATTCTATTAAATTGCTTGGATTGAGGATATGGGTGAATTTCAACAAGGCATAAGGGGTAAGTAACTTCCTCAAAGTTGCAAAGAAGATGGGAGACTCTTAGGCTAGGTTTAAGGATATTTTAAAAAGTAATTGCTGTATCCATTTTAAACTTTTACCTTTAATTATTTACTTATTTCAAATTGATGTTACTTGACTTCTACTTTTAAATCACGTTTTCTGCAAAACTTACTTGGAGCTGTCTAGATGAACCAGTACATTCTTGTTTATGTAAAGATGTTAAATATCCGAAATGGTTTATAGCACATTTTTCTGTACAATATTATTCATAGGATATTTTCTGTCAAAATAAAATTATACTTAGAATTTGTAATACCGAATAATTATTCAGTGAAATGGAGATACTTAATCTATATAGGTATTGTGAAAATTTTTGAGACTATATGACAAATGGAAACACAAATGATTTTCTATTTTGATTTCTGGCTCCTACTAAGAACTTTTGATAGTATTATAATGCCAAATGATTTGATGCAGTTAAGTATGTAGTGTTCACAGATTGGCTGATTTGTTCTTAATTGAGATGATGATTTAAGAAATTTAAAGTCATTACACATAGTAAAAATTGTCAAGTTTCTGCAAGCCTTAAAATTACAAAGGAATCTTAATGTGTTTGCCAACTATACATCATTATAAATCTTTATAAATAAGTTTTAATTAGCATATCGTTTTCAGAAACAAATTCAAAAGCACCTTTTATTGCTTTAAAAAATAATTAGCCTACTTTGACTCCACTTTTCCTGCTACATGGTCTGTGAAAGAAAAAACTTGACTGTATAACTTAGTATTTTGTCTAAAATTTTTAGACAATTATTTTAAGGTAGTATTAATTAGTTTGGTATGATCTTTAACCATCTTAAAGTGAAGTTGACACTATGACTTGATTCCCACCTACTTTTCTCAAGTATTTGTAAACTCTGATTTTTTTATCTTTATGAATTACATAATCTTTATGAGTTTTTCCAACAACTTTTTTCTGTATTGGCCCACTTCAAGATGGGTAGCAATAGGTATATAGTTTTTTTTCAGTCTTCTAGTTTTAAATCTCTGCCTGAGAGATTCTGCTGTTGTGGTGCTAGAAAGCAAGTGCAGTTGCTTTTTTTTTTTTTTTTTTTTTTTCTTTTTTTCTGGAAGAGTGCCATGGAACATTGGAGTTGCTGGTGGCTGGAAAACTTTGAGAATTACAAATTCAGCAGAAAATAGTGGTGTGTTGATTTGAAAGTCCTACATTTCTAGACCAGTGGCTCCCAAGAAATGTTGTGTTTATTTTTTAAGAAGGCTGTTTGCTAGACCTTTGCCACTCAAAAATGTGGTTCACTGTTTTAGAGCAGTGCTTTTCAAACTTAGTGTCCATATGAATTCCCTGGAAATTTTGTTGAAATGCAGATTCTATAGGTGTAGGGTGGCTGAGATTCTGCTTCCAGTGTAGATGCTGCTTTCTGGTGGACCATACTTTTGAATAGTAAGCTTCTAGAGCTCTCACATCCCTGAAGTTTTTTAAAAAAAAATTCTGCCTTATTCTGATACTTGGTACTTAAACTACCTCTATTAGAGCAAAGCAGTTGGGCTCTTTTTGCTTCAGTTTTATGTATATGAATTAATGTACATACTACTTATATATTACAAATTTGAGCAGTTCCCTCCATATTGGTCTCATCTTGCACTAACAAATATTAGTGAGATTTTGGTATCTGCAAGAGAGGAGGCCATATAGTACAATGGTTAACAGAATAGAGATTCTGGGTTTCTGGTCAGACTCTACCACTTACCAGACTTGTGACTTTGGATAAGTTACTCAACCTTGTGTAGCCTCAGTCCTCAGGTTGCTGTGAGGATGAAAAAAGATAATCCATTTGGTACTGTACCTGGTACTTACTTATTATCAAGGGGAAGGCAACCAGGCTTTGTGAGAATGCTGCTTTGCCTCAGATCATTAGGATTCTAGATGGAGAGTGAAAAGATCGAAGTTGAGGAGTACTGCCTTAGGAGCACTGGGAATTGAGCTAGAGGACACCTTTTTGGGGTATTTATTTATTCTGCTCATCTTTTGTGCTTCTTTCTCTTGCTGCTCCCTGTTACTTTTGTGAGACTGAAAACAGTCTCAGAGTTTTCTTCTCTACTTTCCCCTCTCAAAAGCTAACACACAGCTTTTTTTTTTTTTTCTTTAGGGTTTTTATTGCTAGTCACAAGGGAAGAAAAATAAAAGAAAAAAGGTGTTTCTTTCCTTTTCATTCTATCCCTCTGCCCCTTTAGATTTGTCTAGGAAAGATAAAGATACACACACACATAAACACACACAGAAACTTAAGACTTAAGTTTATTCTAGTAATTTCATTTGGACTGCCAAGTTTGTAAGCAGGGGATACTTGTACTCATTTAGAAACAGGATTTTAATAAATATTAAAATGTTTAATGCTTTTAAAACATAGATTAAAACATCTAATACAGTGTTCATAAGATACTTTTATTTGGGATTTTTAAAAAGAGGTAAGGAAAAGCAGGAGTTTATTTCTGCAGAATTTTTAAAATGATGAAAGATGTCTCTCTAGGTACTAGATAGAGACATCTTTCATCATTTAAAATTTTTTTTTTTTTTTAGATGGAGTGTAGCTCTGTCACCCAGGCTGGCGCGCAGTGGTGTGATCTTGGCTCACTGCAAGCTCCCCCTCTCGGGTTCACACCATTCTCCTGCCTCAGCCTCCCGAGTGGCTGGGACTACAGGCGCCCATCACCATGCCCGGCTAATTTTTTGTATTTTTAGTAGAGACAGGGTTTCACGGTGTTAGCCAGGATGGTCTCGATATCCTGACCTCGTGATCCACCCGCCTCGGCCTCCCAAGGTACTGGGATTACAGGCATGAGCCACCGTGCCTGGCCAGTACTACCCATTTTCAGTGAGGGTTGAAATATACAATTTATTGGAAAATTTGCTAATGCATTTGAGCTGGGCGTACTAGTTAAATGTTCAGTAATAGTAAGTAATCTAGATTTATTATGAAATAATAGTTGAGAAAACAGATTTGACTTGGGTAGTTCACCACTGTGTGGAATATTTTTCTGAGTGAAAAACTTTTAATTGCCACTTCTGTTTTCTCTTACAGATTCAAAGTAAAATAACTTTAATTAGAATCTGAAAATTATCTCATAACATGCATAGTTGCAAGAGACTAAGGACTTTTTTGCCTTGTAACTTTGCATACTTATTTTTATATTTTTACTTGGACTTTCTTTCTTTTTTTTTTTTGAGACGGAGTCTCTCTCTGTCGCCGGGGCTGGAGTGCAGTGGCCGGATCTCAGCTCACTGCAAGCTCCATCTCCTGGGTTCACGCCATTCTCCTGTCTCAGCCTCCCGAGTAGCTGGGACTACAGGCGCCCGCCACCTCGCCCGGCTAGTTTTCTTTTTTGTATTTTTTAGTAGAGACGGGGTTTCACCATGTTAGCCAGGATGGTCTCGATCTCCTGACCTCGTGATCCGCCCATCTTGGCCTCCCAAAGTGCTGGGATTATAGGCTTGAGCCACGCGCCTGGCTGGACCTTCTTTCAATGTATATATGTGTGTGTGTGTGTGTGTGTATAATGTATATGTTATATTTTTATATATAAAATATATTTTATTATATATTGTATATATTTTATATATAATATATAGGCAACAGTGAGACCCTGTCTTCAAAAAAATTTATAATTTGTAAATAATATATATTTTACATATATATGAAGCTAAAACTCCTAAATTTATGCTAATATGGTTAAACATTAATTGTTGCATTAAATGGGAGGGAAGATTGCAAATAGCTTTCCATATCTATGAATTTACATTCATATGGATCCATTTAATTTAAGTGAGATAAAAATGTTTTAAATAATTTATAAATAATTGCTCAAGTAAAGTTTATTGTCTTGAATAATGTGTTGATTAATTCAGTTTAATAAATTTATTTGGCCTTTGTAATATTATATATTTATAATATATAACATAAATTGTAATAACGTGCCATTTATCTATAAGTTTAAAGTTCAGCATCATTTATTTTAAAATATTCGGCAATAGCAGAGTGAATGGATTCAAGCTTTTGTGGTTTGTAATTTCATTGAAAATAGTGGCTAGACATGGTGGCTCACACCATAATTCCAGCACTTTGGAGGCGGGGAAGCAGTAGGATCACGTGAGCCTGGGAGTTCTAGACCAGCCTAGGCAACATAGTGAGACCCTGTCTCTACCAAAAGAAAAAAAATTAGTCAGTTGTGGTGCAAACCTGTAGTCCTAGCTTCTGGGGTGGCTGAGGTGGGAGGATCACTTGAGCCTGGGAGGTTGAGGTTGCCGCAAGCCATAATAGTGCCACTGTGCTCCAGCGTGGGTGACAGAGTGAGACCCCATCTAGTAAAAAAAATAATTCCTTTTAATATTATACTTTCATTAAATGATTATATCAATGGAAGTATCAACTTGCTTAAATATGGGATACTGGTAGCTTTATTTTTCTCATTGCAGTTCCTTGCAATGTAGTAGAAGCATGTTTAAAGACTCATTTATAGTGTACGTCGGAAAACTACACTAAGATTTAAAATAATGAATGTGTCTAGCTATATAAAAATTTGGAATTTCTAAGAGATGTCTGAGAAAAAGATAAAATAAGATGTGGCTCATAGCCATTATGAGTAATGTAATTTTATACTGTTTGCTTCAAATTTAAATTGGGTCAAACTATAATGTCCTGTGATGGTCTGAAATACTGTTAAGTAATACTGGATTTGAACTTAAATGTGAAATAGATTTAGATTTCAGTGCACCTGGCAAAATCATGTGATCACTGAAAACCCAGAAAGCCCAGTGATTGCTGAGTATGTTTTGATTTTTCAGTTGTTAATTTTAAGTGTAATGGAGATAGAACCAAAGAAAGACTCTTGAATTTCCCTTATAGTAGGCTAGGTATATCACCACAAACTTTGGAGTCAGAATGAGTTTGAGTGCTGCCTTTTCCATTTACCAACAAGGTGCTCTTGAACAAGTTATTTGACGTTTTTGAATAGAACTTTATAGTTTTTCAAGTATTTTGCACATTATTTCACTTAGTCCTTACCAGCAACCACTTTAATTTATAAGATAAATTGAGATGAATACCCCCATGTTCAGAGAGGGTTGCCTGCTTCTGTACTGTTTGTGGGTAGCATGGTATGGGTAGCATGGTGTGGTTTGTGGGTAGCATGGTGAATGGAGCATGGGTTTTAAGATTAGATAGGCTTAAATTTGAATCCTGGGCTAGCGACTTGACCATATTTCTCATATTCTTTGAGGCTGATGATGGTAATCATACCTGTTTCATAGGATTGTTCTAGAGGTTAAATGAGGTTGGGGGCCTCCTTACTGCTTTCTCTCTCATGCCTGCCGCATAATAGTCACTCATTTGTGGAGTAAATCAATGCCTGGCATAGTAGGTATTCATGGGAGCTTCTTTCCCTTCTGATTTCTAGTCTAATTCCTGCATCTGGAATTGAATGTGACTTGCAATTTGTGTTTAAGATTTGTTTATTTATTTATTTATTTATTTATTTATTTATTACAAATCTGCTTGTTTGGGTACATGTTTAGGATTTTTTTGAAAGAAAAATTAATTAATTTTTTTTTTTTTTTAAGAGACAGGGTCTCACTCTGTTGCCCAGGCTAGAGCACAATCATAGCTCACAGTGGCACAATCATAGCTCACTGCAGCCTCACATTCCTGGGCTCAGGCAGTCTTCCCAACTTAGCCTGCAAAGTAGCTAGGATGACAGGTGTGTGCCACCACACCTGGCTAATTTTTAAATTTGTTGTAGAAATAGGGTCTTGCCATGTTGCCCAGGCTGGACATTCAGATTTTGCCATGTTGCCCAGGCTGGACATTTAGATTTCTTTAGAAGGGAGGTTATTGAAAACCTTGATTACACATAAATCTGATTTTTTGGTTGTTATTAAGCTCCTTGTAGCTTAGTGTGTTTTATCACTCTATTTTTAGACCATTATTATTTTTATTTTTTAATTTTTTTAAGAGATGGAGTCTCGCTGTGTTGCCCAGGCTAGAGTGCAGTGGTGTGATCTCAACTCTCTGCAAGCTTGGCCTCCCGGGTTCACGCCATTCTCCTGCCTCAGCCTCCCAAGTAGCTGGGACTACAGGTGCCCGTCACCACGCCTGGCTAATTTTTATATTTTTAAAGTAGAAATGGGGTTTCACCGTGTTAGCCAGGATGGTCTCGATCTCCTGACTTTGTGATCTGCCTACCTCGGCCTCCCAAAGTACTGGGATTGTAGGTGTGAGCCACCGCGCCCGGCCTAGACCATTATATTTTACTTGCTGTGCCAATAAGATGAGTTGACCGTATAATTCCATAATTTAGAAACCTGAGATGATCTTAGATTTTTACAAATGTGGTTTTAATTATGTATGGTGAATTATTATTCTGATGATAGTTATATACTTAGCTTATGGATTGTCATTGAAGCCTGCTTTACAACTCTGGAAACACAAAATATTTTCCTCTTTATATGAAATTAATGTTATGTATACATTTGTAGAGTCTTACTTAAGATATGCATATATCTAAGCATTTGAGGTCTCCCGTTGGACTATGAATTTCTTTTTTTTTTTTGAGACAGAGTCTCACTCTGTTGCCCAGGCTGGAGTGCAGTGGTGGGATCTCAGCTCACCATAACCTCCGCCTCCTGGGTTCAAGCTATTCTCCTGCCTCAGCCTCCTGAGTAGCTGGGACTACAGGCGCGTGCCACCATGACCAGCTAATTTTCGTATTTTTAATAGAAACGGGGTTTCACTACGTTGGTCAGGCTGGTCTCAAACTCCTGACCTCGTGATCCACCCACCTGGGCCTCCCAAAGTGCTGGGATTACAGGCATGAGCCATCGCGCAGGGCTTGGACTGTGAATTTCTTAAGGGAAGGGATTGTTTTGTTCATTCTTATTTCCCTGCTGCTTAAGTTTGTGCCTGGCCAAAAGAAATAATAGCTGTGTAGTGCATATTGTGAGACAGCATACCTTCTTCTAATCTGGGGCCTTCTGAAGGGATTTTTGTTTTTAGTTCTGCCCTAGATATTTAGAACTTAAACCCTACATAAAGTGCTATTGTGTTATATGGATAGGAAGCCAATGTTATGTTGACATTTTAATGTCAGTAAGGCATACTTTCTTGTTAGGTTTGAAAGTTAATCTTTGTGTGAAAAGGTAGGAGGAATATTATATTTTTAAGGACTTCTGGTCCTTGTAATAATGAATGGAAACGTATTCAAATATTGATTAGAGGTATGCTATGTATAAAGCATTCTATATAAGCTTTTTATAAGGTATGTTTTACTTAGGGTAAGGCTTTGTTAGCACTGTAGTTTTTAAAAAGGCAGTCTTCGAGTTTGTATATCCTTTTTCTTAGAATTCTTTGACACTTATACTAGCAGTTTGATTTCTAAATAATATAAATCGTATTTATATGTAAAATTCAATTTTCTTCTAGTTCAATTTTAGTCTCTGTGATTGTTGTTACTTTTTGTTTAAAAATTTTTTTTTAAATAACTGGGCTGAAGTGACGTGTCTTTCTGATATACCAGACATTGTATTCTACCTTCTATTCTATCTTTGCAACAGATTTATTTGAAAATGCCTATGGGTCTTCAATGAAGAGAAGAGAACTTGAAGATCTGAAGGATAATATTGAATTCAGAGGTCATAAGCCACTTAACAGCATCACTGTTTCAAAGAAACGCAATTGGCTATATCAGAGTACTCTGAGATCTCTTAATCTGGAAGAAGAAAATAAGAAATGCCAAGATAGAAGTCATTTATCCATCTCACCTGTGTCTCTACCTAAACATCAGCTATCACAGTCTTTCCTCAAATCATCTAAAGAGTACTGTACATATGTGGTATGTAACGCTACAAACTCTTCATTATCGAAAAACTGTGCTTTAGATTTTAATGAGGAAAATGATGCAGATGATGAAGGAGAAATATGGTACAACCCCATTCCTGAGGATGATGACCTTGGTATGTCAAGTGCCTTGAGGTTTGGTGAGGTTGACTCTGCTGTTCTGAAGCTCCCTGCTGTCAATTTAAGCATGTTGTCTGGCAGTGACCTGATGAAAGCAGAGCAGCATACTGAAGACTCGCTGTGCTCTTCCGAACATACAGGTGATATTCAGAGCACATGGTCAAATGGAATGAATCCTATGGATCCTGCCCGTTCCACAGAATTTGTGCAGCAGTACAAGCAAAGGCTAGGACACAAGACACAAGAAGGTATAATGGTAGAGGACAGTCCTATGTTGAAATCTTTTGCAGGTAAAAATGATCATATATCTGTCTTTTCTTTCTTCTTCCATTTTTCAATTATTTGATAGTAGCTAAAACTAAATATAAAAGATGTTTGTTATACTTTTTCTTGTGAATATATTTTCATGAAAATAAAACTCAAAAAGGTTTATAAACATTTTAACGTACATGCTGGTTTAATTATTACTATCACAGACTTGATCTTTGTTTTATTTTATTTTTTAAGAAAAGGTCTCACTCTGCCACCCAGGCTAGAGTGCAGTGGCACAATCATGGCACACCGCAGTCTTGACGTCCAGGCTCAGGTGATCCTTCCACCATAGCCTCCTGAGTAGCTAGGACTATAGGTGCCTGCCACCATGCCCAGACAATTTTTGTATTCTTTTGTAGAGACAGGGTTTTGCTTTGTTGACCAGGCTGATCTAGAACTCCTGACCTCAAGCCATCCACCCACCTTGGCCTCCCAAAGTGCTGGGATTATAAGCATGAACCATTGTGCCTGGCCACAGACTTGACTTTATAGTCCAGTGTGCTTTAATATGCCAATCCTTTGAGATAGTAATTGCTTGTCTATTAGTTGGAAGCAAGAAATCATAGGGAGTTGAAGAAAAAGTAAGTCTTATTTTGCTTCATTCATTCATTCATTCATTCATTTACACCTGGCCTGGCTGCAGCTGAAAAGTTTTATTTTTAGTGTATCAGTGGTCATTAGTTTGTGTTTGTTATGCCTAAGTTTCCTCATGAGCAAAAGAAAGAGAGAGGAGAGAAAGAAATGAGAAGTAGAAGTAAGGCCCTTGCAAATAGGTGCTACAGTAGTTATGGAACTGAAAAATGAAGTAATTGAAGTTTTATGTAGATTAAGTTGACCCATGTGAAAATAAGTGCTACAGTAGTTATGGAACTGAAAAAATGAAATAATTGAAGTTTTATGTATATTAGGTTAACCCATTTGAAATTGCAGATATTCAAAAGTTTTTGATCTGCAAAAATTGCCTTTAATTTTCTGATATGCTTCTTTTAGTCCCTGACACAGTACGCAGGAAACAGAACGTAAGGCACATTTGCTTGCAAATATCAAGTGTAGAATAGAAAGCAGTTCTGTTTTATATCAAGTCATTTTAATTTACAGAATTCCAAATGATGCAGAATATTTAAAGATGTGGGGTATAGGAGATGCTGTCAGTGCTTTGTCTTATATCCCTTGGGTTTTATTACTTACTTTTTAAATGGGAGAAGCTTATTTCCAACCACCAACATCTTCATCTCTGCTTAAGGACTTTCTCTGAAGTCTTAGAGAATCTCTCTGCAGGGCAGCCTGGGCGTGCCTCTCAACCAGTGCCTGACAAGAGCTGGTATAGAACCACCTCAGCTCCCTCAACCCTTGGGCAGAATAATTCTGAGTTCATATTCTATGTTGTTTTCCAGAGTTTTCTCATGAGGTCAAGTTCCAGTTGCCCATAGTGATAGCAGGCTTAATAATTCAGCTTGAATTTTCCGCTGAATTTTCTCAACTCCCTCGCTGTTGTTTCTGTATTTTGCAAATAAACTACTTACATTTGAAACCTTTTCTCAGGGACATAGAAAGGTAGAGTAAATGTATATTAAGAGAAAAAGCAAGTTCCAAAACAATGTGTACTATATGATGGCAATTTTGAAAGAAAAGCTGAAAGCTATCCTGGAAATGTTAAGTGTTTTTTTGTTTATTTGTTTTTATTTTTTTCTGAGTGTTGAGATTGAAGGTAATTAAATTTTTTCTTTGTGCATTTCTAATTATAGGATAATTCTCCAGAGCGAATGTGTGCTTCTTTTGTAGTCCGGACGGGGAGAGAAGTAAATACTATATAAAATAGTAATTTGCAATGCAGATTGTGATCAGGGTGGAGTGATAGGGAAGGCTATAGTATCACAGTGATGGATATGGAATAGTTCAGAGAAGGCAAGACAGGGTAAGGATAAAAGCAAAGATAGAAAGTTGGTGTTCATGAAGTGACACACACCTTGATTTAAGTGACTATCCTTAAACTTTTTTTTTTGGCAAATTGTGAACCCGGAAAGACTAACATTTTTTAAAAAAAATATAACTTAAAAGTATGGTATATCTGCTTTTTTTTACTATCTCCTTTTTTACTGTCATTCTTCTCATATATATATAATTAAAGTATATTTATAATTATAAAATAAATATATATTATAAATATTAAATATTTCGTTTAATATTGTAAAATATATGATTATAATATATAATTAAAATATTTTTTGGTCAAAAATCCTAAATTGACCAAAGGAAATATATAGACAGTTTATTTATAAGTCGTCTTTTTTTGTTGTTTTATTTTGGTGGAAAAACCATTACCTAAAGTGATCTGTTTCTTAGCAATATTGGCAGAAAGCTCTTGAGAAATTGGCAAAGAAAATGGTTGAATTTCAAAATAATTTTTGATCAGAGAATTGGAAAGCTAATTCATCCTAATACAATTATGACTTGTTTTTTCCTGATTAACTTCCAGATATATATGTATTTTTTTTTTTTTTTTTTTAAAAGACAGGGTTTTGCTGTGTTTTGCAGGGTGGAGCACAATGGCACAATCACGGCTCGCTAGCCTCCCTGCCTGGGAAACACTGGACCTTCCTGGCTCAACCAGTCTTCCCACCTTGGCTTCCCTAGTAGCTGGGACTATAGCTCACCACCACACCTGCTAATTTTTTTGTATCTTTGGAGACATGGGGTTTTGCCATGTTGTCTAGGCTGGTCTTGAACTCCCATCTGCCTCAGCCTCCCAAAGTAATGGGATAACAGTGAGCCACCATGACATATATGTATCTTTTATGTAGTTGCAATCATAGTGGACTTTATTTTTTATTTTTGCTATTTTTACTTGGTATCTTCATCTTGCATTGTTACATGTAGAGTAGTATTGTTTCTCAAGCATTGTAGTACAGTATTTAGCTGGGTTGATGTGCCCTAATCTATTTGACTGTTTCCTTAATGTTAGGTGTTGATAGATTGTTTCCGGTGCTGTTGCAGTGATCTTCATAATAATATTTTTTACTTCATTCAGAACAATTACCAGGATCATTACTTGGTGTTTATGGCTGGTAATTATTATTGTTAATTTCTATATTGCATTTTCTACAAAGTTTGCCAGTTTACAAGGCAACTAACAATTGGTTATTCATTTATTCAGTAAATATTGAGTTCCTGCTATGTACCAGTTACTGTTCTCGGTGCTGAAGGAGTATGCCAGTTTCACTCGACTCTAGCCTAGTTCATAAATTTATATTTAAAGATTTTTACTTTGTACCTTCTTTTTAAAGATAGTATGTGATTTGATTAGTATAGTTGTAGTTTAATTTTAAGCGACTGTGGAATTTGGTAATATTTTGGCTCTTGGGGTTTATAAAAACAAAGCATTTGGTTTTAATAAATTCAGTCTTATCTGCAGTAGAAGTTGCTATCATGTACAGTATTTCATTTTAATAATTAGTTAAGGACTTCAGTAGAAATTACTTACAATATGTTAAAAAGAGTCAAATTTTTTAATGTGATAATGTATTTAATCTAAAGCAATTTAATATATTGGATAGCTTTTCTAGGCCGTGATAAAATAGACAGATTGATGTTTATAGACTAAAGCAGGACCCTGATTAACTCTAGAATGTTTCAGACTATTAAGCCAGTAGAATTGTACTATAATTTTAGTACAAGGGGATGCTTTATCCGGTTTATCAAACACTCCATTTTCTATTATCTTCTTACTAGAAAAGCCCTGTAGGCATACTTAAAATAGGTTTTTCTCTATAAAGAAACTACTTATTTGTCATTGGGACACATAGGGGTGGAGGGAGAATATTAGTACTTTTTAAAGAAAGATCATTTGTTGATTTTTAAAATGAATAAATACTTTTTCTCATTTTAATTGTGAAATATTGTGTTACATACATTAGTTTTTGATTTGAGGTTATTAGATCTTTCTCTATAAGGAATAGACAAAGTATGAAAAATTAACTTAAATTTTAAATAATTGGGATAATGCAGTATTCTGCTTGAGTATCACGATGGAAGTTGAACTGAACTTCTAATGAAATCTCCCCATTAAGATGAATAAGAGAAGAATTTCTGCCTATGTGGGAGCTTGTTTAGTTGATGGTTTATAAAATAAGAATAAAAGTAGAAATCAAAACATACTGCTTTATAATATATTTTTCTTTCTTTCTTTTTTTTTCAAGGTTCAGGGATCCTGGCTGCTACAAATAGTACTGAATTGGGAATTATAGAACCATCTTCTCCAAATCCTAGCCCTGTGAAAAAAGGCAGTTCAATTAATTGGTCTTTGCCAGATAAAATAAAATCTCCACGAACTGTGAGGAAACTTTCCATGAAAATGAAAAAGTTGCCAGAATTTAGCCGAAAGCTAAGTGTTAAGGGAACATTGAATTATATAAACAGTCCAGATAACACTCCTTCTTTGTCTAAATATAACTGCCGAGAAATTCATCATACTGATGTTCTGCCCTCTGGGAACACAACCACAGCTGCTAAGAGAAATGTTATAAGCCGATACCATCTTGATACCAGTGTATCCTCCCAGCACAACTACCAGAAGAAAAACTCTATGAGTTCTAAGTATTCCTGCAAAGGTGGTTACCTTAGTGATGGAGACTCACCTGAACTTATAACTAAAGCTAGCAAACGTGGATCTGAAAACAAATTTGGAAGAGGAAAAGAAATAATTTCAAATAGTTGTAGCAAGAATGAAATAGACATTGATGCTTTTAGGCATTATAGCTTTTCTGATCAACCTAAGTGTTCACAGTACATATCTGGGCTCATGAGTGTACATTTCTATGGTGCTGAGGATTTAAAACCACCTCGGATAGATTCAAAAGATGTCTTTTGTGCAATTCAGGTAGATTCAGTAAACAAAGCAAGAACAGCTTTGCTCACATGTCGAACAACATTTTTAGACATGGATCACACTTTCAACATAGAAATTGAAAATGCACAACATTTGAAACTAGTAGTATTCAGTTGGGAACCTACTCCAAGAAAAAATCGAGTTTGTTGTCATGGAACTGTTGTTCTTCCCGCCTTATTTAGAGTGACAAAGACTCATCAATTGGCTGTCAAACTTGAACCTAGAGGTCTTATTTATGTGAAAGTGACTCTTATGGAACAGTGGGAGAATTCTCTTCATGGACTAGACATAAACCAAGAACCAATAATATTTGGAGTTGATATTCAAAAAGTTGTAGAGAAAGAAAATATAGGACTGATGGTGCCCCTTCTGATACAGAAATGTATTATGGAAATTGAAAAGAGAGGCTGTCAGGTATTATCTTACTATGGTTCTCTACTACTTCCTTTGTTGATTGATTAATTGTAAGTCTTGGGGGAAGGAATTCAAAGTAATGTAAAAAAATCAAATTTAGATATTTTACAATTCCTATTCTTTATTCCATTACTGTTTAGGGTATAATTTTTAAGTTGACTCATGTTGTCCATTATTGAGAGCATGCTAGATGAGTCCACAAATTTGTATTGCAACACAGAGCCTCATGGGTCTTATAATTAGAAATCAGGATTGCTTCAAAATGGCATTGAAAGGAAAAGTCAGAGCTGATAAACATAGGCAAAGGATATTAATATCAGGTATAAGTAATTGTTTATACTAATTTTTGTGATACATATTAAGACTAAAAATCATTACATTATTTCTGCTTTAGTACTATCCAAATTTATAATATTGGTTAAAAAGGTAAGTTAAAAGACAATGAGTAAATATTATAAAATCTGAAATATTTAATAAAATTAAGCTTAACGTGGAAACTCAAGAAACAGCATAAGTTAATGAAATTTTGCATTAAGATGCAGAACACCTGGATTCTGGTTTCTTCTCCATATTACTTAGCTGTGTCATGTTGGGCAAGTCACTTAATCTCTGTGGGTCTTACTTGCTTGTATCTATAAAAATAGATGGAGTGGTCGGGCATGGTGGCTAATGCCTGTAATCCCAGCACTTTGGGAGGCTGAGGTGGATGGATCACCTGAGGTCAGGAGTTCAAGACCAGCCTGGCCAACATGGTGAAAACTGTCTCTACTAAAAATACAGAAATTAGTTTGGTATGGTGGCACATGCCTGTAATCCCAGCTACTTGGGAGGCTGATGCAGGAGAATCGTTTGAACCACTTTAAGTGCCAAGAAAACATTTTTAGCAGTACTTTTCATTTTTATTTAGAACTGTACTTTTTTTTTTTTGAGATGGAGTCTTGCTCTGTCGCCCACACTGGAGTGCAGTGGTGCAATCTCAGCTTACTGCGACCTCCACCTCCCGGGTTCAAGCAGTTCTGCCTAAGCCTCCCAGTTAGCTGGGATTACAGGTGCACGCCATCATGCCTGGCTAATTTTTGTATTTTTTTTTTAGTAGAGACGGGGTTTCACCATGTTAGCCAGGCTGGTCTGAAACTCCTGACCTTGTGATCTGCCTGCCTTGGCTTCCCAAAGTGCTGGGATTACAGGTGGGAGCCATGGCTCCCGGCCTAGAACTGTACTTTTTAAAGACGTTTTTGTTTTGTCTCACCTGCTTCTTTCTCCTCCACTTGCCCTCCCCTGTCCCCTGCCCCCAGTAGAGAGAGGCTTGTTGTGCATGTATAAAGACTGGCATACTGCTTAAATTTTGTTTACCCTTTTAGTCAGGAATTATTCTTCTTTTGTTGGGTTTTTATTGTAAACATGAAAATAGGCTTTGATAGTCGTATGCAAAGAGTTTGTGGCATGGGTCTTTGCATCTTCCAAATGCTTTGAATGCTACTCCCACCCATCTCCTGCTTAAAATGGGAAAAATTGCTATGGAGATCATACTCATGGTCTGCCTTTCATAGAGGCATCGAGCATGTACTTCAAGGATTTGATTCAGGATCTCAGCATCTGAAAGTAGGGATATATCCTAAAATATCTTTTCCTCGAAGTACCTGTATTAGATCTTCCTTTCTTTGTTCATCTTTTAAAAAATTATATTTGTGATTTCAACTTTTGGGGGTAAAATATCCCATTAATTTATTGTGTACTAGTTAAGCAGTACTTCCTTTAAGTTGTTGTAGGCTCATCTTCTTCTCAAGTTTAAGGGATACATCGTTTTTATGGTACTTTATGACACTTACATGTGCTCACACCAGCAGGGCTATGATCAAGTTCGTTTTTTCTATTGTGGTAGCATTTCCTTTGATCCTGTTTAATATTTTAGTTTCATTTTCTGGACTGTCTACATTTCTACTGTGTCTTTCTTGAGATGATGTGACCAGTGTAACTCATGCTATTCTCAATGTGGATGCATCATGAATGTGGGTAAGAGAAGGAAATTTGAATTTTTTTCCTAGTGTATTTCTTGGTTTCCCATATTATCTTGATCTTTTCGAATGTAGCAGCACCTTGCATTATCATGTCTTGGAAATAGTTTTAGGTTCTTTACTGTCTTTCAATTAATACATATAGCTTATCATCTCAAATATTTTAGATAATACTTCCCTGTATCTGTTTTGACACTTTCTCATATTGAGACCCACCTTATAATGTATTGTATCAGTTTTTTAATGAGTCAGAAGAGATTAGTGTCATAAGTAAACCTGGAAATTTCATTTGTATACTTCTTCCTCTAGATCATTTATTGCATTTTACAGTGATTCCTAGTTCAAATCCTGGAAGATTACTTTTACTTTCTCTCTTTAAATAGTTTCTTTCTCCATAATACTTCCTTCAATTCAAAGTGACTGAACTTTCTAAATAATCTTAGATGTGGAATTATGGCTGACAACCACTTATTCTCCTTAAGTTTTTTTGAAGGTTTATTCTTTCAAAGACCTTTGATAGCTTAATTGGGCGTGTTTTGTCTTCACAGAGATCATGTTTATTTCTTCTCGGTAAATTTATAGTGAATAACTTAAGACTCAATATTTAGAACCTGTATAACAGTGTTTAAAGACAAATCTTTTCAATGTAGGTTGGTGGGATGGGTAGTGTCTGTCCATCTTATATAAATTTTGAAGTAGAGGTTTTATTTTACCTTTAATGTATTATTTTAAATTTCCTCCATCACTTTATAATCAATTAATTTGACAACAACAAAAAACCCTAGGTTTGCTTCTGTGTCTTCCTGAGAATCTTTTTTCTTAAAAAGCTTTATATACTGGAACCTTATTTCAACTATATTGTTATCTTAAGGATAAAAGAAACTGAGTTTTAAAGAGATTAAATAACTTGCCCAAATTCATGAAGCAAGGAGTGGGGCATTATGACTCTAAAATCCTTGTTCACTGTCTGCGCTGTACTACTTCAGTCTGGAACAAAAGTTGTGAAAGGGCGCACATTCCTGGGGCATGGAGATCTTGATTGAGCATATAAAACTGAAAAGAAGGGATTGCGTTTTGCTTAAGATAGGTAGCCAGCATTACCGAACTGACAGTGTATTGTTTGAATTTAAATGAAAGAATAGGATATTTTTATTAAACTAATCAACATAGTATATAATGAGATTTCAAGAGCTATATTTGAGGTATTTTAAATTAAATTACATCGGAACATATTTGATTGCAAAGTTCATGTGATCTATAATGTAATTATATTTTCCCTTTATCAAATTTACCATAATGTGGCCATAATTTTATTCCTAGGTAGTAGGCCTGTATCGATTATGTGGTTCGGCAGCAGTCAAGAAAGAACTGCGAGAGGCCTTTGAGAGAGATAGCAAAGCTGTTGGTCTGTGTGAAAACCTGTACCCAGATATAAATGTAATAACAGGTAATACATAGATTTTATTTTATGTACTCTTTCTGGAAAGATTACATCTGCAAGAAAGATAACTGAAATACGTTTGTAGCTGAAATTTAATTTGTTTTTCTGAAGTCTTTTCCTCCTTCACAAACATTACTTACTGTGTTATTTTCTATGGGAAGGTATTAAGCTATGGTCCCTTGCCCGCCAACAGCTGACATGATGAAGGGAAGTAAGACCTACTTTCAATTAGCTATAGTAGCTAGCAGAAAGAAAAAGGTACCTTCATAGAGGGATAAATAAAATGCCTTGGGAGTTGAGTTTGACTGGTACTTAGGTGATATAGAGGGTATTGACTCTCTGGTTAGAGAATTTAAATTTATTTACTAGCCAGAGGGGATCCATTAGAATTTTTTGAGTAGGGGAGTGATATCATTAGAAATTGTTTTCAGGAATATTAATCTGGCAACTCTATGTGATGAATTGAAATTAGAAGAGACCAGAGGAAGGAAAACCAATTAGAAAGCCTTGGCAATAGTCCAAGCAAAGAGGTAGTAAGAGCTAAAGGGGCTTGTAGCAGTAGAAATAGGAAGAAGTAGAATTGAAAGGAGGTGGAGAAAGAGGGAGCCCAGACAGACGTGACTTTGAGACCTGGTTGATTGGGTACCATTAGCAGAAATAAGATAGCTTCAGGGAGAGCTACTGCTTTTTGTGGGGAAGTGTTGAGAAAGATTATGAATTGGGCTTTGGATATATAGAATTTGAAGTGATAGTAGGAGATCTAAATGGGTAGATCAAGCAAAGTTGAAACTGCTCATCTGCAGCTAAGAAGAGGATGCAGTAGAATTTGAGGGATCTCTTACTTACCCAAGTGGTGATTATAATTCAGTGTATGGCAATGGAAATATACTTCTATTACCCCTGAAAAATGAGAGTGGAAAGAGAGTCATTGCATATATGTGTAGTTAAAGCGTTGCAATTGTCCATAAAGTTTGAAAAGACAAGAACTTTGGAGGTCTCCCAACTTTGGAGGCAGGCAAAGAAAGAAGAAACACCTAAAGAGATTGAGAGGAAAGGAGTCAGAAAGTTTGGGAAATAAGAGACAACAGAAATTAAGCAAAAGTGTGATACAGTCATTCTATGGAGAGGTTATATGACAAAAGAAAAGGGCCTTTGAATTTGACCATTAAGAAATGGCTCATAACCTTACTGGTAACCTTCAGGAGCTACTGGTTTATAATAATTCCATGTTTGTTTTTGTTGTTTTACTTTTTTTATTATTGAAGTTTTCAAGTATGCGAAAGTATAGAGAATACTATGAAAAATCCTGTTTATCACCTGGTTTCCATAATATCAACACATGAACAGACTTGTCTCATTCATCCTCCCATTTGCTTTTTCTCAGCCCTTGATTATTTTGAGAAAATCTCAGACATATCCTTTAATTTATAGATGCTTCAGTGTGTATCTCCAGATCTTCTGTGTATTTTGGTAGTTCTTTCTCCTCTCTACTGACAACCACCATTTTTTTCTTGCTGTAATGGGTTTACTTTTCTCTTCTAACTTGCTTTCTTATTTTTACTCAAAACTAACTGTTTGGGTGAAAATTTGAAGAAAGTTCATCTTGTACATATTTAAGAGAATTTTGTTGGTGAAAATCCTTACTTTTAGGATTGAGACTTTCTGAATAATTGAGGTTCCTACCCTTTGAGTGCTGAATGACTGTATTTTCTTCAAGTATTTAATATGTAACTCTTAGATAATCAAAACTTTGATTCCAAGCATTTTAATGCTAAGATAAAACAAACTGTCACTTTTTTCTTATATAGTTTAGCAAATCAGAAATAATGGTTCCTTTTAATTTTTATATAGGAAGAGGCATATTTCTACAAAAAATTGAGATGCCTGAAAAAAATGAAATGTTCTTTCCTTGTTAATGTGTAATTAGCAAAATCAGCCAAAGACTCATTTTATGAATCCATGAAAGAGAAAGTTTTATAAATACAAATTTCCAGCAAGTACAGTCTATAAGTAGATTTTGTCTTGGTGAAACTTTGTCTTATAAATAAAAATTATGTTAAACATGTATAATTTTATAAGATGAAATGAAGGAAGAGTTCCTAGTTTTGGAAATTGGCAGCATATGCAGAAGATATGAACAATAGGTCAATGAATATTGGATTTACAGCATTCTTTCCTAAAATTGAGTTTCTGTAATTTATAAATTGGATATTTCTTGGCTCTATTCTTTGTACTATTCCATTTGTGTAAAGCTGTTTTTCAGAAGAATTTAGAGCTATTTTTTTCTTGATAAAAAGGCAATGAAATGATTTAAGATTTGTCTGCAAAATAATTGCATGACACAAGGTTTTTGTGGCTAAAAATAAAGGGTATTGTTGATTTGAGGAGTTGGCCAGTGACAGTGTTGCTTCATGTGTTTGTTCCTCATGAACTCACATTTCTGAGTAAACTTTGAAAAATAGTTAGTAGTTCAGTAGGTCTAAAAAATGAGAAATTAATGAAGTGAGTGACAGATTTTGTTCACAGTTTAATGTGTTTTTAGTAGTTGGTTTATCTGGAGCATGGAATGAAATACTCCAGACAAACCAGTTTTTTAAAAATCAAGTACAAAATTTTAGGTATAAAGTCCATTCATAATTCTTTTTTGTTTGCTTTTTGAGAGAGTCTCACGCCGTAGCCCAAGCTGGAGTGCAGTGGTGCAACCTCCGCCTCTGCGGCTCAAGCAATTCTTGTGCCTCAGCCTCCCGAATAGCTGGGACTACAGGCACACGCCACTACACCCCGTTTTTTGTATTTTAGTAGAAACAGGATTTCACCCTGTTGCCCAGGGTGGTCTTGAACTCCTGAACTCAGGAGATCCTCCCATCTCAGCCTCCCAAAGTGCTAGGATTACAGGCATAAGCCACTGCTCCTGGCCTATTCCTAATTCTTTAGAGGACTTATTAACAAGGGACAGAAGACTTTTTAAAAGTCAAATATTTATCAGTTAGTGATTATTAAAAATAAGTCTTCTGAGGAAGATTACATGTGTCTAGCTACTGTGAAATAGACTTCTTGTCAGTGCTACACAATCAGTATCTAGGTTCAGTGCCTGAAAGTTCATTTGACCATGCCTTTTTCTGATTTTAATCCTACCATAGTCATTTTTATCCTATTTGCCGTTTAGGGAAAACTTTATCAGAATATAACTAAATGATCTTGAAAACATTAATATTTTTCTTTTTTGTACATACTATACATTTTCCTACCATACGTGTTATATGTTGTCTGACCTTTGGAACATTAACTTACAAATTGTTTCCATTTCCCTTTACCTAGATTGCATATAGATGTCAAAACTGTGCAAGCACCAAGGAATGCTAAATGTTGAGGAATGGTCATAGACTTAGCAACCCACATATACTGAGATTGTTTATGAGAGCCATTTGGTCTGAGTAACATGTATAGGGTATGACTAAAGTAGGTGATAAGGCCAGAAAGAGTAAGTGAGGTAAGGTGCAGGGTAGGTTAGTGGATTTAAAAAAGTAATTTGTAGCTCTACCTTCAAGAAATGTCAGTGATTCAACATTCAAATCTACCTAATCAACTGTATATTTACTATCTGTATAAGTTTTATATGTGAGAGAATGATTCTCATGTTTGTATACGTGCATATTCGGTCTTCTGGTTCATAGGTCCTAAATGCTTTTGTATTTATTTAGGCTTATTCTGAAGCCCAGAATATGGTTTTTGGTGGTAAATGTTCCATTTGAGCTCTTGAAAAGAAGTGTATTCTGGTGTTTTTGGGCGGACTGTGCTGTAACTATCAATAAAGTCAAGTTAGTTAATAATGTCCCAGTCTTCTACATCTTTGTTTTCTTTCTACTCGCTGAGGGGAGTATTGAAATCTTCAACTATAATTGTGGTTTTTCTCTATTTTTTCTTCAAACTGTTTTTGTTTCCACCCCACCTACCCAATGCCACTACTTTGCCTTTGAAGATTACAATTAAGCATGTATTAGGCCACTTTACGTTATGTTACAGCTCACTGATAGTGTATTTGTTTTTTCCAGCTTTTCCCCCACTTTGTTTCATTTTACATTGTTTCTATTGCTCTATCTTCAAGTTATATTAGCCTTGTCTTCTGATATCAATTTCATTCATTGCATTTTTAGTTCCAGACAACCTAGTTTTCACTACTATAAGTTTGATATGGGTTTGTTTTTTCAGTATTTTCCATGTCTCTACTTAATATGTTCAGTCTTTATTCTAGCTTCTTGAACATATGAAATACAGTTATAATAAGTGTTTTCGTGTCCTTTTCTACTGATTCTATTGTGTATGTCTTTTCTGACTTGGTTTAAATTGATTTGACTCCTCATAGGTTATATTTGCCTCCTCCTTTATATGCCTCGTAATTTTTTACTGGACATCAAATGTAAATTTTACCTTCTTGGGTGCTGGATATTTCTGCATTTCTGTATTTATAGCTGTGGTTTGGTATGCAAGTACATTACTTGCAGAGTTTTTAGTCTTTTAAGCTTTATTAGGCAGAATGTCAACTGCTTTTAAATAAGGCTCTTCTTTGTCTATCTCTTTGATTCTCTACTGAAGCAAAACTCTTCTATATACTGTGTACTTATATTAGTTTTCTATGGCTGCCATAACAAAGTACCACCAACTTGGTGGCTGAAACAACAGAAATGTCTTTTCTCACAGTTCTAGAGGCTGGAAGTTCAGAACCAAAGCATTAGCAGGGCCCTGCTCCCCTTGATACCTGCAGGGGAATCCTTCCTTGCATCTTCCTAGTTCTGGTGGTTTGCTGGCAACCTTTGACAGCCCTTTCTTTGCCTGTAGATGCATGACTCCAATACTCCATCTTCACATGGCATTTTCCCTATGTTTCTTCATATCATCTGCTCTCTCTGTGTGTCTTTTTCTGTGTCCCTCATTTTATAAGGACATGTCATATTGGAGTAAGGCCCACCCTAATGACCTCGTTTAACTTGATTACCTCTGCAAAGACTCTTTCCAAATAAGGTCATATTCTGAGGCACTAGGAGTTCAGACTCCAACATGTTTTTTTTTGGTCAGGGGTGGGGGCCACAATTCAACATAGTGCTGTACCCAAATCCCATGAATTACGAAGTTTTCCGCTCTGGCTGCTTGGAACAAGAGTGATTGCCTGCACCATGAAAACTCCTAGAATTGTTCTTTCTAATCTGTTTGGCTGGTTCTTTCTCCAGCCTTGGGGAATTGCCCCACCTGTGTGTGCTGATTAGTACTCAGATGAACATGTGGGATTTCCAGAGTCGTCTCTAGGCAGCCCTCTACTCTCAAGTGCTCTGTCCTGCAAGGTCTAGCAGCTTTAGCCTCCTTGAATTTCTAACTCCCCTTCAACTGTCGAGCTTTACCTGGGTTTTCATTTCCTTACTGCGACCTGGAAAGTCTCTCTAGGTAGTAAGCTGTGGTTGTTGTGGGCACACTTCATTTGGTTCCCATCTCTCAGGGATCTTTGTTCTTTGCTTGATGTCCAATGTCTTGGACATAGTTTTGTCATATATTTTGTCTGGCATTTTCAGTTGTTGCAAGCAGGAAGGTAAATCTAGTCCCTATTGCTCCATCTTGTGTAGAAACACTGGTCTGCCTTTCTACTCTGTATGTGGGTTACTGATTGCAACGAGAAAAAAAAAATCAATATTGTTTGGTACCAGTATTAATCCATGTACTTCAGAGTCATTAGAAGGCTCTGAATGGTGCCTAATAATAATTGTATGTTTTCTTATCAGCTCTCTGTCTCATCTCTGGAGTGTCTATTTAATATCTTCTCACTCCCCTCAAACCTCATTTCACCCATATCACTCTTAGCAGACGACCCTGCCTCCTAACTTCACAGAAAAACAGAAGCCATCAGATGGGAACTTGCTCTACTTCTTGTGACCTAGCCTATCAATGTGCCTTCTTTGGCATACATTCTTTCCACTTCTTTTCTGTAATAATAGAGCAATGACCTTCCTTACATCTTGGACAAATTCTAATTCCTTTATGTGTTCTCAGAAGTTTCTTCTTTCTTCTTAGGGACTTTGCTCAATCGATTATATTTCCTCTCTCCTGAACCTTGAAAACCTTTTTACTATCTCCTTTACATTAGCATTGAAATGTTTAAGTGTCTCCTGTCTTTAAAGAAAAATCTCCACTTTGATCTTGTTTCTCCCCTGCCCTCCCCTCTCCTCTATGGTTATCATCTTTTCTCAAAGCCAGATTTCTCGAACAGGTTGTGTGTATTTCTTTGTCTATTTCTTTAATGCCATTTACTTCCTAACCAGCTGCAACCTGACTTCAGTGTCCTTTATTTTCCTGAAACTGTGCTTGCCAAGGTTGCTGACTTCCTTTTCTGGTGAACATTTTTGGGTTCTTAAATTGTCTCTGGATCATTATTTTCTATGCCTGGTTACAAAACCCCATTGCCTAAACATGAGAGGAATTTGTTAAAAATACAGGGACGGGAGCTCTGACCTCTGTGGATTATGATTTAGTAGGGCTGGCATGGGGCTCCAGAATCTGATTTTTTTAAAAAGCCTCAGTGTGCAGCCAATTTTGAAAAACACTGTTCTCTGCAATATTTAACACTGTTCTTATCTAACCTAACTGTTCTTTGGGTATCATTAGATATCATAGACTCTTTCTTGAAACATTTTTCCTCGACTTCCTTGGCATCACTTTTGCCACTCTCCTCTCGCCCCATCCCCACCTCCTCTCACCATACATACATCTTTTGCCATTCTTCCTTAGTCACCATTGGAAGATCCTCTTTCCTGATGACCCCTGGAAAGTTAATGTTCTTCAGGTTATTTTCTAAACCTTCTCTTAATCACTCTGTATGCCTCCCTGATAATCATTCCCAAAATCCAATTATCTTTAAGTTGATCATTCTTAAATCTGTGTCTAAAGTCATCTCTTTCATCTCTGATTTTTATATCCAGCAGCCTTGAATGTCCCATAGACAGCTTAAGTTCCATATGTTCAAAATGAAACTCTTCTCTTTACCCCCTAAAACATGATTTTCCTCCTGTGTTCTCTATTTGAAGTAATGTCGCTAGTATCCACCTAGATGCTCAAGTTCCAAGCCTAGGAAAGAAACACTCTTATTCCTCCTTTTTCTTCAGAATTGCAAATGCATTTTTTGCTTAGCAGTCCTGTTTTAATAATGTATCCTACAGACATACCTGCATATATACAGAGCGACTATGTGCAAGGTGATTAATTGTAGCATGTTTTGGAAAAACAAAGGATAAGAAACAATTCTAGTGTCCATCTGTAAGAGACTGAATAGATAAGACTATGGGACATCCTTACATTGAACTACTGTAATGTGGCTATAAAAATGATTAAGGAAGCTCTCTATGGCCTGAAAAAATCTCAAGGATATGATGTTAAATGAAAAAGCAAGAAACAAAATAGCAAAATTCTTATTTCTGATTTCTTTGGGTTTTGGAATATTTGCATTATACTTACCAGTTTAGCATCCCTAATACAAAAATCAAAAATCCAGAATGCTCTAATGAGCATTCCTTTGAGCATCATGCTGGCATTTTAAAAGTTTTGGATTTGAGGGCATTTTGGATTTTTAAACTAAGGATACTCAACCCTCAATGAGGGAGACAAATCATATGTATATTTGCATAAACATTAGAAGGATGCATAAGAAACTAATGAATCATGTTACTATTAAATATTTAAAACTTAGGGCCAGGCACAGTGGCTCATGCCAAGTACTCTGGGAGAATAAGGTGGGAAGATCACTTGAGACCAGCAATTCAAGACTAACCTGGGAAGTATAGTGAGACCCTGATCTACAAAAAATAAGAAAATTAGCCAGGTGTGGTGGCAACTACCTGTAGTCCTAGCTACTTAAGAGGCTGAGGTGGGAGGATTGCTTGAGCCTAGGAGTTTGAGGTTACCAGTGTACTCCAGCCTGGGTGATTGAGTGAGACCCTGTGACAATTAAAAAAAAAAAAAAAATCAGATGCGAAGCTTCCTATAGAATCATGTTTAAGTTCAAACTAAGCTAGGCTGAGAGCATGTTCTGAATCAATGTTGTATATATTTAGGTTTTTGGTGTTAGGAAGATCTCCTGTTTTCCCTTGTGATCACATGCCAGCCTTTAGTTAGTATCTTATGTACCTTGCTTATATATAACAACCACTATTCTTTCCAGTTTCCTCTACTGTAAGTAATATCTCTTAGTTCGAAACTACATGTGGAATGTTTGCAATTGACTTTCCTCTTTTCCATTATACTGACAAGTCTGATGTTTTCTGTTCTTAGCTTTTGGTTTTATTTGTTTGGTTTTAGGAATGATTTTTTCTTCCATATGATAGTGTAGCATTAGAGATTATCCGGCTATCCAGTATATCTGTTTAAGACACTCCTCCACTGTTAAAGAGGAAATGTATTTATTTTCAACGGTTTTGGACAATTGGTACTCTTTTATTATCAATTTAAAGTCTAGAAACTCAGAATTTGCATAATTGGAATAATTTATAATTAACATAAATATGCCTTGCTTTCTTAATTTCTGTTTCACATGCATTTAGAGAAGCTTTTTATAGGGGGCAGAATCAATAAGGGTATATGTATCAAGAATAGCTTACTTTATGATTAACAAACCTAACATGTATGGTAACTGAAAATTATGTGTGTACATTTTTAGCATTCTTTCAAAACAAGTCAATTACCAAGGCAACTTAAAAGAATATAAAATGCTAGTATTTTATTATAATTCTTTTTATGTTATTGCTTTTATTGTTTTCAAAATATTGAAAGTTGGTTATAATACTTAAATTTTAAAAATTGACCATAGTTCTTTATTTCACTCTACAGTCCAATCACCAACTGTCTGCGGTTTGTTTGTTTTCTAAAGGTGTTCTTAAGGATTATTTAAGAGAACTCCCTTCTCCTCTGATAACAAAGCAACTTTATGAGGCTGTATTAGGTGCAATGGCAAAAAGTCCTTTGAAAATGTCATCAAATGGTTGTGAGAATGACCCAACTGACTCTAAGTACACTGTTGACCTGCTGGATTGTCTGCCTGAGATTGAGAAGGTAAGCATTATAGGTATACATTTTTCCTGAAAGCCAGTTAATGAACTATATACCCAGCTCCAGAGCTACAGATAATTTTAGATATTTAACATTTGTGGCACTCATGTATTTAAAAGCTCTGCCATTACTGCCTTTAAACAGCCTAAGTCCGTAAAAGCTTCTTAAACAGAATAAATCTAGAAAACAATTTTATCTTTTCTGTATGTGATTTTAGCCTAAGCATGAATAAATACTCACTAAAGTTTTTTTAATTGTATTGTTAAAATATTATTACAATATTTGTTCATTATAGTAATATTGAAAAGATACAGAAAAGAAGAATGTAAAATTGCAATCATCAATATCCAGAGGCAGCTATAATTAACATTTTGGTGTGTCTCCTTTTAGTATTTTTTTAGATATGATAACTGTTTTGGTGTATATGGCTTAACTTTAAGACAAACAACACCCCCCGCCCCCCGTTTTTTTCCTCCTTATCCTTTCCATTTGCCCCCCTCTCCAAAATCTTCAGACCAGCATCCTCAGGTATGCCTGTAGGAGAGAGAGAGAAGGATAGGTAGGTCTTCAGAACCAGCCTTAGCCTAACTTTATCTGTTGTTCCTTAGAATATAAGAGAAAATAGGAGAAAGATATGACTGGGCTTATCTAGATGAGGCCAAATTTGCCTACTTTTTTTTTTTTTTTTAATCATGTTGGGGCAGAAAGAGCAAGAATTAGTAGGTAGAAACTGTAAGTCCAGTAACTTTATTTGCAAGTTTACTGTGGTCCCCTGAATGTCCTATGCTCTGTCCAGTTGAATTAACAATTACTCCTCGTTTGGATTAGGGGAAGGGAACAGCTAAAGAGTGCAGAAGCAGAAGGGTGGGGTGAAGTTTAAGGGGGTGGGTGGAAAAAGTAGAGATACTGGTTTCCTAACACTAGGTAAAAAAAAAAAATTTTTTTTTTGAAGATGGAGTCTCACTCTGTCACCTAGGCTGGAGTGAAGTGGTGTGATCTTGGCTCACTGCAACCTCCACCTTTACAGGTTCAAGCGATTCTCCTACCTCAGCCTCCTGAGTAGCTGGGACTACAGGTGGGCACCACCATGCCCGACTTATTTTTGTATTTTTAGTAGAGACGGGGTTTCACCATATTGGCCAGGCTGGTCTCAAACTCCTGACCTCAGGTGATCTGCCCGCCTTGGTCTCTCAAAATGCTGGGATTACAGGCATGAGCCACCATGCCCAGCACTAGGTAAAATTATAAGTGCCACTTCTAAGTGAAGAAATGAGTGTTAGAGAATTTAAATCACTTGCTGAAAGTTACATAGCTTTTGTGAATATTATAGTCTATCACATGAATTCAAGTCTTTCTGACCCTGAGGCCCATGCTATTACCATCCTTTCTAAAAAGACTGAGTAAGCCTGGGCTGTATGGTGAAACCCTGTCTCTACAAAAATTACAAAAATTAGCGGGGCACAGTGGCACGTGCCTATGGTCCCAGCTACTTGGGAGGCTGAGGTGGAAGGATGGCTTGAGTTCAGGGAGGGCTACAGTGAGCCAAGATCATGCCACTGCACTCCAGCCTGGGCGATAGAGCCAGACCTTATCTCAATCAATCAGTCAATCAGTCAATAACTGTATGATATACCATTGAGTGGATGTGACAACATACTTTATCAATATTCTCTTTTATATATTTAGATTTTGAGTGATTTGTAAATATTTGTACACAGATTTATTTTTAGTTTAGAATTATTTAGAATAGAATCTCAGAAGTGGAATTGCTTATTTAAGTAATATGAACATTTTAAGGCCCTTATATGTTTTCATACTGATTTTCTTTCTTCGTCTTTTTTTTTTTTTCTGTTTTTTTTTTGTTTTTGAGACAGGGTCTCACTTTGTCTCTCAGGCTGGAGTGCGGTGGTGCAAACGCAGCTCACTGCAGCCTCAACCTTCCCTGCTCATGTGATCCTCCTGCCTCAGCCCCCCAAGTAGCTGGGACTACGGGCGTGTGCCGTCACCCTCAACTAATTTTTTTTGTATGTTTTGTAGAGACTGGGTTTCATCGTGTTGCCCAGGCTAGTCTCGAACTCTTGAGCTCAAGCAATCCACCTGCCTTGACCTCCCAAAGTACTGGGATTATAGGCATGAGCCACCACGCCAGCCAGACTAGTTTTCAAAAGGAACATGACAATTACATTTTTTGGTCCATCTTATTTAGTAGACAAAAAAAATTTGCATTCCTTTGCTTGCTACTGAGATTGAACATATATTTAACCAGGTGTAGTGTGTTGTTTGTGTCTGTGTGTGTGTATGATCACAATTATTGCTGGAAATACCCTTAAGAGGCCAATGTATATGGAGTTGTGTTAGGAAATAATTATGAATTAAAAAAAGAAATATTCATATATTTAACTTGTTTTGATTTAAAATGCCATATTCTTCTCTAGCTTTCATTCTCTCTTCATTCCTTCCCTTCACAGCCAAACATTGAAAGGCTGTTTATTCCGGCTGTTATCGCTTCATCACCACTCATTTTACTACTCAGAACATTGTAATATGGCTTCCTACCTCATCTCTCTGGACTTGTTCTTGCCACAGCTACTAAATGACCTTCTGACCAGCAAATCCATTTGTCACTTTTGGCTCCAGAAATAATGTTATTTTGATTTTTCTTTAAATAAGATTTTTTACCAGCTTAGACAACAAAGTAAGACCCTGTCTCCAAAAAAAAAAAAAAAAAATGTTTTTTTTTTGAGACAGAGTCTCGCTCTGTCGTCCAGGCTGCAGTGCAGTGGCATAATCTTGGCTCACTGAAACCTCTGCCTCCCGGAACAAGTGATCCTCCTGCCTCAGCTTCGTGAGTAGCTGGGATTACAGGCGTGTGCCACCACACCCACCTATTTTTTTTGTATTTTCAGTACAGTCGGGGTTTCATCATGTTGACCAGGCTGGTCTCGAACTTCTGACCTCAGATGATTCACCCGCCTCGGCCTCCCAAAGTGCTGGGATTACAGGCGTGAGCCACATGCCTGACCTACAAAAATTTTTTAAAAATTAATGGGTATGGTGTCGCATGCCTGTAGCCTGAGCTACTTGGGAGGCTGAGGTGGGAAGATTGCTTGAGCAGGGAAGGTTGGTGCTGCAGTGAGCTGTGATCATGCCACTGTACTCCAGCCTGGGCCACAGAGCGAGACCCTGTCTCAAAAAAAAAAAAAAAACAACTAAAGTTTTAAATTGGCATCAGTGTCTTCAATTTTGAAGAAAAAATTACTTATTTTGTTAAATGATTGATCATATGCCACTACCTCAAAAAACATCATTTCTTTCCATAATTGTTGAAACCTAAATAACCATTCTACTTTTTGAGCCAATTACCCTTACTAGTTTCTTTAAGGATTAAAAAATATTTTCAGCAATTTTTTTTCTTTCATTTCTAACTGTACTATTCTTAAGGTTTGTTTACTGAAAAAAAATATATATATATTAGTTAAGAAGCGTATTGGCCTTTTAAAAATGTCTTTCATAATCCAAATCATTATAGAACCTGGCCATGTTCTGGAATGGTTAGCTTCCTAGATTTAAGCATGATAGTGATTACAAGTTACAACTACAGGACTTACCTGTACTTAAAAATGAACATTCTTACCCTAATCCCCTTTGCATCAGAGCCTTTGCTGTTGCCATGTTAGAAGAGACAGAGTTAATGGATGCATTTTCCCAGGGATTCCAGCTGAAATCTGGAGTGCATTCATAAGTATTTTATAAAGAATGTATATTTTAACCATTTAGTGGATTGTGTTGTTGGAACATAATTTTTTTTTTTTTTGACAGAGTCTCGTTCAGCCACCCAGGCTGGAGTGCAGGGGTATAGTCTTGGCTCACTGCAACCACCATCTCCCGGGTTCAAGTGATTCTCCCATCTCAGCCTCCCGAGTAGCTGGGATCATAGGCAACCACCATCATGCCCGGCTAATTTTTGTATTTTCATAGAGATGGGGTTTCACCATGTTGGCCAGGCTGGTCTTGAACTCCTGACCTCAGGTGATCCTCCTGCCTCGACCCACCAGAGTGCTGGGATTACAGGCATGAGCCACTGCACCCGGCTGGAACATAATTTAGGCCCCATATAATGTTTCTATTAGAAACTATGTTGTAGGTTCCAAACATCCAATTTATAAGCAAATCTTTGAAAAAAATCCTCTTAAAAGTGACAAGATGTTCATCTGTATTTTCTGCTATAAATTGTGTCCTTGAATTTGCCCCTTTAGGACTATATTAATTGAAATTTAATTTAATTTAGGCAACCCTAAAGATGTTATTGGATCATTTGAAATTGGTGGCTTCCTATCATGAAGTGAATAAGATGACATGCCAGAATTTGGCTGTGTGCTTTGGACCAGTGTTATTAAGTCAGAAGCAAGAGCCTTCATCACATAACAACAGAGTCTTTACTGATTCAGAAGAACTTGCAAGTGCTTTGGATTTTAAAAAACACATTGAAGTTCTTCATTACTTACTCCAACTCTGGCCAGGTAAATGATTCTATGGAAATACTTTTCACTTTCAATGATAGGGCATTTGAATTAACTAATCATTAAATATGCTCATATATGATTGAAGAAACTCTTCTAGATTTTGCTTTTTCAAAATGTGATTTGATACCTGCCCTTTAGATTTTTTTTCATTTAAATATTTTCTGCCTTTGCTGATGACATCGTAGGCATGTAGATTAATGTGCACATTTTAGATTTGGTAGATCTAGATTTAAATCCTGGTTGTACCACTTATTAGCAATCTGACCTTGGGCTGGTTTCGTAACATCTCAGAGCCTTGTATCATCTTTTGTCATATGGATTTAATAATATGTTTATAGATTTTATATTAGGATTTTTAAAAATTGTATATGTAAAGTGCTCAGCATAGCTCTTGACACATAATAGAGACTCAATAAACACTTAATTTATTTACTTTTCTCATTTTTAGTTCAACTGGTATAAAGCAGAATTCATTTTTCTCCTTAAATCAGTTCTTCTTTACGTCTTTAACTGCATTCATGGTCATTAGTCAAATTATCTCAGCTTGAATTGGGAATTATCTTTGACCTTTCCATCTTATCCAATCCTTATTCCAATCAATAACTAAAGACTGACAGTTGTTTTCCTAATTATCTCTGATATAGTTTCAGAGCTAAAAGAAATATGTATTTAATTAGACATTCTGTAAAGGACCCTGCATTTAAATTCCAAAATTTTCTTAGCTTTTAGTAACCCCTGCTACTTTCGCCCCACACTGCATGGAACCAAGTGTGAAGTACTTTGGAGCTTCGTGTAGAGCACACTAGTAACCATGCCTGGCCCTGGGGTCAGGCTTGGGTTCAGATCTGGATGGTGACACTTGCTGGCGGGGTGGGCTATGGCAAAAACTTTAACCTCTTCAACTCCCATTTTGCTTCTCTCTAAATAATGCCTGTCTCAGGGTTGTTGTAAAGATTGAGATAAAGCGTCTAAGGCAATGAGCAAAATGTTTAGCACAAAGTGAGCACTCAGTCAATGTCTTCGGTTACTCTTTTGTTGTATTTATATAGACAGAAAGATTAAAGTACAAGGGAATGCTTGAGTTCATCAGTTAAAGTGAATTAAAAATTAAGTTAATAAAAATTTTCCAGCATTTTGGGAGGCTGAGGCAGGTGGATCACAAGGTCAGGAGTTTGAGACCAGCCTGGCCAACATAGTGAAACCCTGCCTCCGCTAAAAATACAAAAAAATTAGCGGGGCATGGTGGCGGGCACCTGTAGTCCCAGCTACTTGGGAGGCTGAGGCAAGAGAATCGCTTGAACCCAGGACGCAGAGGTTGCGGTGAGCCGAGATCGCGACACTGCACTCTAGCCTGGATGACAGACAGAGTGAAAAAAAAAAAAAAAAATCAATGTTAAAATTTGAAAAAAAAAAAATTTTACTTTCTTTTAAAAAAAAAAAAAAAAATTATTCTAATTTAAAAAAAAAAAAAATTAGAATGTTATTTTAAAAAAAAAAAAACCCTGAATCAAGATTAAAAAAAAAAAAGAACTGATTTCAGCATAAAAAAAAAAAAGTAAGGGATCTTTCAGAAAAAAAAAAAAGTCTACTTTTTCTAGAAAAAAAAAAAAACTAATAAACACCAAGAAAAAAAAAAAAAGCCATCTTGTCATTACAAAAAAAAAAAACTTGCTTTCCTGGAGAAAAAAAAAAAAATACTGTCAGTGTCTGAAAAAAAAAAAAATAATTATTAATTATTCAAAAAAAAAAAATAAGGTCATTATATTAAAAAAAAAAAAAAGCCACCTTAGTTTTGAAAAAAAAAAAAAAAAACTTAATGTATAAAAAAAAAAAAAGAAAAAGCAGGTTCGGAAAAAAAAAAAACTGTATTCTAAAGACAAAAAAAAAAAAATGTTCCTAGTGTACAGAAAAAAAAAAAAAAGATTTGTGTTGTTGAAAAAAAAAAAAACTGCTCCGTTTTCTAAAAAAAAAAAAATTTCTTTAGTTGTAGTAAAAAAAAAAAAGAGCAGGGCAGAAAGAAAAAAAAAAAAAAAAGTTTTACCCTGTCAAAAAAAAAAAATTGAATTCAAGAAAAGAAAAAAAAAAAATAGATGAGGTGCACTTAAAAAAAAAAAAAAAGTTGATGGTGACAAAAAAAAAAAAACAAAGACTAGTAGGCGAAAAAAAAAAAACTCAGCGAATGTCTATAAAAAAAAAAAACATTCAATAGGTTTTAAAAAAAAAAAAAATGCATATCTTATTTTAAAAAAAAAAAATTCTCCAACTCCAGAGAAAAAAAAAAAAACCCCCTTCCTATTTAAAAAAAAAAAAATTTATTTTGTTTCATGAAAAAAAAAAAATATTAATTTTGGGCAAAAAAAAAAAAAACTTTGAGATTTATATTAAAAAAAAAAAATCTTCAAAGTAGTTAGAAAAAAAAAAAACATATCAGCATTAGAAAAAAAAAAAAAACCTGCCAATAGTCTTTAAAAAAAAAAAATACTGAACCCTCAGGTAAAAAAAAAAAAGCTTAGAAGCCAGATCAAAAAAAAAAAAGGGAACAAAATGGAAAAAAAAAAAAAAATTGACCAGAACAGCCTAAAAAAAAAAAATTTTATTATTGAGTTTAAAAAAAAAAAATTATTTTAGATATTCAAAAAAAAAAAAAAGAATACTGAAAATTAAAAAAAAAAAAACTATCACTTTAAAGATAAAAAAAAAAAATTAGAGTATAATTCCTAAAAAAAAAAAATACCACATTTTCTTTCAAAAAAAAAAAATTTTTTTTTTTGTGGGAAAAAAAAAAAATCTCACTCTGTCGCCCAAAAAAAAAAAAACTGGCGCAATCTTGAAAAAAAAAAAAATCTGCCTCTTAGGTTCAAAAAAAAAAAATACCTTAGCCTCCTGAAAAAAAAAAAAAACAGGCATGTACCACTAAAAAAAAAAAATTTTTGTATTTTTAGTAAAAAAAAAAAATCACCATATTGGCCAGAAAAAAAAAAAACTCCTGACTTCAAGTGAAAAAAAAAAAACGGCCTCCCAAAGTGCAAAAAAAAAAAACATGAGCCACAACACCAAAAAAAAAAAACACATTTTCTATGACAAAAAAAAAAAAAGCAAGTTTTTTGGAAAAAAAAAAAAAAATTCTCTTATTTCTTTTAAAAAAAAAAAACTTACTAGATTGTAAGAAAAAAAAAAAAGAGGATTATTTTTAACAAAAAAAAAAAAGGTCCTAGCAGAGTATAAAAAAAAAAAAAGACAGTCAGTATATTAAAAAAAAAAAAGGTAATTATAGATAAAAAAAAAAAAAAATAGTAATTAGAAACAAAAAAAAAAAAAAAAAACAAGATAAGGAAAAAAAAAAAAAATTAGTACTTATTATATAAAAAAAAAAAATTCAGCAACCATATAGAAAAAAAAAAAAATTTTATTCTCTTGAAAAAAAAAAAAAAACAGTGATGGGAAAACAAAAAAAAAAAAGGTTAAAATTAGCCATAAAAAAAAAAAATTTAGTTGTAAACCACAAAAAAAAAAAAAGTCTAAAAAGTCAGTAAAAAAAAAAAATCAGAAATTGAAATTTAAAAAAAAAAAAATATAAAATATCAGTTAAAAAAAAAAAATAATGTTTTCCAAGATAAAAAAAAAAAATAATGTTTCAATATGGAAAAAAAAAAAAAACTATAAGCAACTGGAAAAAAAAAAAATCTGGATTTTGTAGGCAAAAAAAAAAAAATGCAGGCACAATAGGAAAAAAAAAAAACATAAAGCAAAAATACAAAAAAAAAAAAGACCAGATAACCTCAAAAAAAAAAAAAAATTGTAATTGGTTGGTAAAAAAAAAAAACATGACAGTTAAGCACAAAAAAAAAAAAGAATAGCACAAAGAATAAAAAAAAAAAAGTAAGGAGATAGTGGTAAAAAAAAAAAAGAGGAGGAAAAATATGAAAAAAAAAAAAGTGGAAAATTCAGATAAAAAAAAAAAAATTATATCAGTTGATGAAAAAAAAAAAAATATATTAATACTAACAAAAAAAAAAAAATTAAAGTAAATAACCTAAAAAAAAAAAAAAATTTTAGATCAAGAAAAAAAAAAAAACTATAGTGATACATAAAAAAAAAAAAAAAAATGCAATAGAAATGAAAAAAAAAAAACTATGTACAGTTATCAAAAAAAAAAAAAAAATCTAAATTTAAAAAAAAAAAAAAAATCTGAAAAATGTTATGAAAAAAAAAAAAAGTGTGGAAAACTAGAAAAAAAAAAAAATTTTTATAGTTTTTTAAAAAAAAAAAAATATACAACAGCAAACAAAAAAAAAAAAAATGTTGAAGAGTATAAAAAAAAAAAAAAATCACTGATTTATGTTAAAAAAAAAAAATGAAGGGAAATAGAGAAAAAAAAAAAAATATTAATGGAGAATAAAAAAAAAAAAAAAGAAAGATATTATGGGAAAAAAAAAAAAGCTATGTGTCAGCATTAAAAAAAAAAAATTTTATATACAGAATAAAAAAAAAAAAATATTTTGTTCAACACAAAAAAAAAAAAATTAGTTTGTAATGAAGAAAAAAAAAAAACTATGGTAATCGTCTAAAAAAAAAAAAAAATGCATACTCTCAGAAAAAAAAAAAAATAATATGGAAAATGTTAAAAAAAAAAAATAAATACCTAATCAGAAAAAAAAAAAAAAATATCTGTACTATTTAAAAAAAAAAAATGAAGATAGTAGATAAAAAAAAAAAAAAAAACTCAGGTAACAAGAAAAAAAAAAAAGTATTTGCACCTTTTAAAAAAAAAAAAATTGGTCTGCTTAGTAAAAAAAAAAAAAACTGCTAATGGAATTGCAAAAAAAAAAAAAAGGGTCAGAACTTACAAAAAAAAAAAATTTAGATGCCTTTGCCAAAAAAAAAAAATTGCAGATAAAGGAACAAAAAAAAAAAATTTGTTTGTACACCAAAAAAAAAAAAAAGCTTTTTGCTGTAGCTAAAAAAAAAAAAGAAGCTAGCAGCTTAGAAAAAAAAAAAATTATAGCTAGATAATAAAAAAAAAAAAAAGAGAATTAATTGACAAAAAAAAAAAAATTTGTTTGGGGACGTTAAAAAAAAAAAAGAATTAGCACCATGGAAAAAAAAAAAAATTCTATCCTTAATCTAAAAAAAAAAAAATAATACAAAAATAATTAAAAAAAAAAAACTTTTGATAGAGTGCAAAAAAAAAAAAAAATGCATGTTTGTAGTAAAAAAAAAAAAGGCTTATCTTTAACTCAAAAAAAAAAAAAAGTTCAGTTGGATTAAAAAAAAAAAAACAAAATTGTTGTTTGTAAAAAAAAAAAAGTTTAACTGTCAAAAAAAAAAAAAAAAATTTATTCCCAGAGCAGAAAAAAAAAAAAAATTATTTGAGGCAGAAAAAAAAAAAAACTCATATGTTAAATTTAAAAAAAAAAAATTCATCAGGAGTACTTAAAAAAAAAAAAAACCGATTAGACAGTCAAAAAAAAAAAAGTTATGCGGGAGACTGAAAAAAAAAAAAGGAAAACTACTTTTTAAAAAAAAAAAAAAATTTAAGTGATGTGGAAAAAAAAAAAATCCCTTCAGAAGATAGAAAAAAAAAAAAAAATTATAGCAAAATGAAAAAAAAAAAAGTAATGATTGAACAGCAAAAAAAAAAAACCAAAGAGTGTACATTAAAAAAAAAAAAGACAATGCAGACAATTAAAAAAAAAAAAGATCGAAAAAACAATCAAAAAAAAAAAAAAGAAAGTATTGATACAAAAAAAAAAAATCTGGAACGTGAACTCAAAAAAAAAAAACTTAATATGAGTTTTTAAAAAAAAAAAATTTTCTGTTTTTTTTTAAAAAAAAAAAACTTAAAGTTTCAAATCAAAAAAAAAAAACTTTCTTTTCTTATACAAAAAAAAAAAATGTTTTCATTCTATTAAAAAAAAAAAAATTAATTTCTAATAAGTAAAAAAAAAAAAATTAAAAACACTATTCAAAAAAAAAAAATTTACTTATCTCCCTAAAAAAAAAAAAAGGGGATCAATAAAACTAAAAAAAAAAAAGCTATTTTACTAAATCAAAAAAAAAAAATGGAGATAACTTTCAAAAAAAAAAAAAAAGGTTCACATAAGTTAAAAAAAAAAAAAGGTTTTTCTGCTTTATAAAAAAAAAAAATCTGTAGCTGAGACAGA